TTTACAGATAAAAACGTGATTAAGTTTATACTTAATCTGCATCTTACCACCACTTGCACTGGTAAGACCTTGAGTGGTTTTCTCAAAATATTGAGTAGGGACTAATCCTTCTTGAATACAGTTCATGTCTACACCACTATCAACTAAAGCAACAGCATTAGTGATAGTGTACTCCTGATTGATTACCAAATTAATGGAGATATACCATTTTTGGTAAGTGACCTGATTCAAAAGATTAAGATAATCTTTTTCTTTAGGCACTTCAATCTGTGAAGACGAGGATTCTATAGGAGCATGATTAGCCTTATCTTTTAAAAGCTTAATTTCCAAATTCATATTGGTTTGATGGATCTTTAATTGGCGAATTTCAGCTTTTAAATTATTAACCTCCATCCCTAAATTTGGAAGATTAGCAGGACGAGAGTTCTGGCTTTGATGTTCTAACCTATTTAGAACTTCTTTCATGCTATAATGATTTTCAGATCTTATAAAGTCTGGATTATCATTATCTTCTTGAGGTTGTGCAATAGCATAACCTATTTCAAAGATCTTCATTTTTATCTGAGGATTTTGAACTTGATCTATAAGATCCAACAAGGATTGTTGATGAGCAGTTAAAACATTTAAACTTAGCCCATTCATTTCAACTATAGCCTTGTAATAGTCATTCTTCTGGTGACAAGAACATTCTGGATTACTATTTTCTTCTTCAGAGGAAGACGAGGATTGTAATTCCATGAGTTCTTCAAACTCAGAAGATCCATTTTCAGAAGAACTAGTATTAAGTAGTAATTTGCTTAATTGGAGTTTTAACTCTTCACTAATGGGAAGATTGTTAAGTTTCTCCTTAGTTCTGCATTTATTGGCATAGTGGCCTATCCGTCCATATTTGAAACACTTAGCCTCTGTTTTGGGTTTTCCTTTACCCTTTGCTTTTGAATAAGTTTTCCTTTTGGGCTTAGTGTACTGTTTTGAATTATCAACCTTTTGTTGATATTTCCTTCGGGAATATTTCTTTTTATAAGGTTTGTCAACCTTATGTCTTTTCCTAATTTTAGGAAAAGATAAAGGTGTTTGATAGGCAAATTGTTCACAAAATTCACCTACTTCCTTTTTCCCCGTTAGTCTCTGTTGTTTTAACTGAGACTGTAGCTTCAGATCATTACAAAGAGCTAAACCTTCTTGGATTATGATGTTGACTAATCCACCATAGGTATAGTTCCTGTAAGGGATAGAAATTCCATTGTTCATATCCCGAAGCTTCTTTCTGATTCTTTCAGCAAAAAAGGTAGGAAGACCATCCACAAATTTTGCCTTCCAGTGTTCATGATTGGCATCACGAAGCTGTAAAACCTTGGCTAAGAAGACATCTTTATACCAACGGAAATGGGTTAGAGATGGACATCTTAGATTATGTAACAACTCTCTACTCCTTTCACTGTTAGCACCTTTAGGGCCAACGAAATGTTGAATAATTGTGGTGATGAGAGTGTAGACCGCATCTGCAGTTGGGCCTTCTTGCTGAATATTTTCATCCTTTACAATCTTGATAGCTAAAAATATCTCTACTTTCTGAATATCAGTGAGAACATTATCCCACCATCTTTTAAGGATGCCTGTAAAACCAGCAACAATGAATCTGGCAATTGTTGGATCAGTGTTGTTGCTAAGTTTACAGACTTGACTATACATTAACATTTGATGTACCACCTCATAAATCTGATAGTCAGATTTACCATCGATGTTCCATTCATAAAGGTTTTTCCATGAAAAGATTTCTGAGTATGAAAATAATCTTCTTCATACAAAATATCTTGAGGGTTGGTCTAGGATAGTAATATCTACTCGGAGCAGGGGCTGTATTGGAGTGGATATTTTTATCATAGACAATTCTGTTAAGATCAGGCATAGTTGAAAAAGCAGCCTAAAAATCCTCAATATAAGGGGAAAATTCATTGTCAGAAATAGTGTCAGATTCAATGTGGGACAAAGTTTGGAGTTTAAGTCCTTGAATTTTCTGAGTAAGGAGTTGAAGAAATTCTTCATTCTTTTTCTGATTGGACAACCTGAAACCTGAAACTTCAATAGCAGGTTGAACAAGGGCCTTTGATAAGGGAACTTCTGGGGAAGGTTTAACAGATATAGTCTTAGTATTAAGAATATTTAAAACTGTATCCATACCTGTCTCAATTCTTCCTAATTGGGACCCTATCGTTTGTATACAAACATTAGTATAGTTATTCTGTCTGTATACTTTATAAATATCTTCCTTTATAATAAAGCTGGTTTCTTTATCACTGTTTGGAAGATTAGCAGCGGGTTGGCTATAAGCCTTAGTCTCTACTTTAGAACCAGTATCTGGATCCGTGGTTTTCAAAAATAGAGCTTTAGTGGGGGGATGGACTGAATGAATAACTTTATCAGATTTAGTAATCCATGTTTTTCAGAAAATCATCAAAAATATTTAAATTCATAATGGAATGATGTGTCAGACAAAACCAAGAAACAAAAGGTGTAACCATTTTCTTTTCTTGAAGATAAGTATAAAATTGTGTTTTATAAAACTGTAACTTGTCATCATCAAAAGTTTTAAAATACCAATTTCTAAACTCGTGATATTTTTCCTGTTGAAATTCAGCATTAATGGCTTTTCTATCAGGTATAAAATCCATTAAAACTAATATTCTTATCTTTCATCACCTTTCTCTTCAGTTTCAATACCCAATTCTGATGGAGTGGGTGTGACTTCAATTCCAAATTCCCGACAGGATGGATTCTTTGGTGCTGGTTCATAAACAACATGTGGAATCTTATTCTGTGATTGCTGGAGTCCCTTCAGCTTGAGTTGATCAACCTCTGTAAATTCATCTTTGTCCTTAGACATTCATGAAACAGAGTTGCGAGAAGGGGGATAGGAAACCTTATAACGAACTTTAATTCCTCCAGATGATGTAGATCTGGGTAGATCTAAAGATCTTCTGAAACTAAGAAGAACATCACCATCACGATCTTGGATGATACAGTCCAAATTCCTATTAAAAATAGGCTTTGCAGGAACTGCATTAGGAATTGTCCAATGGTCAGGGAACGTTATGTCACTCCAAGAAATTAGCCTTTTGTGGCAATATTTGAAGTGAACATGTTTGTATCCCAAAGCGCAGTTGCTCCTTTAGAGTCTTTGCGAATAACTTTCGGACAGTAGGTATCAAGTACCATATAGTGAATGCGATAAATTACACTTATCACTTCCGATCCAGGTAAGAAATTATACCCATGAGTCTATACACGAAGACTAGCTGCTTCGTATATATTTCAATCCGTCAAGGATAGATTCAGACTAGGATATATATCAAAGTAAACCGGTCCATAATATAGACTGGTTTCCAGTGCACCCATTAAAGAAGGGTGAAAATCTAAACACCTAGCATCCCTAAGTGTTGCCTGGATACAAGCATCCATACCAAGTAAGGTTAAAGGTTTAAAAGCAATTTATATTAAACCTATATGGATATACTTGTATTTCTTCATGTATCTCTGAAGATCACAGGGAGACAATAATTTAATTATTGTGTCCTGGTTACTCAATTGCATCGTCTGTTCCATAGTTTTAACTGCCCATAGATCAGCGATGTTGAGCATTCCGATTTTGTACACCAGAATTTGGTCGGAGATTGATTTACAGTCAATTCCGGCACCGATCACTCCACCTCGTCGCTCTGTTTCCACCAATTTTAATGATGGCCATGGTTGCAAGAAAAACTGATATTTTCCATATACACAAACTAAGATAATCATGAAATAAACCTTAATTTAATCATTGACTATTGAAGACTTTGATTTTCTCTCTTGGCGCAGTGATTCATCTGTAACAGCGTTCCATACATTCGCTATATATAATTTGTATATATATATATATATATATATATATATATATATATATGATTTTTGTTTGACTTTGCTTGGGCTTATCCAACAAATTGGTAGTAGAGGAGGATTGATAAGGTGTCAGTGTGTCATCAATATAGTGGCTTTATATATATATTTAGAGAGAGAGAGAAATGTATTTAAAACAAGAGATCTTTATATAAGGTATTTAAATTTATATATATATATTTATATAAGGTATTTAATTTATATTTATACAAGGTATTTAAATTTTATATTTTATTATAGGGGTATATTTGTCATTTCATATAAACTTAATAGATTTGAACGGAAATGGGACAATGTGATGACGGTTTATTGTTTAAGGGGGTGTTTAATTTTAGTGGGAATATTTTGGACGAACATTTTAGTATGTGATTTTCCTCCAGAAAATAATACAATAATTAATTTTAACTTTCTATTTAATAAAGTTATAAAAAAGATAATGATGGAAACATTATTTACCAAACAACCCAACCTTTTTTATTATTATTATTTTTAGTGATTTTGGTTACACTTTCACTTTGACAAACATGTTTTGCTCTCATATTTTTTTGAGCAACATACCTTGCCAAACATGTTCTACCATTTTTGTTCCAAAATTCTTTGGAACAAATTTTTGTTGCCAAAAATGTTTTGTTTTCATTTTAGAACACCACATTACAAAACACTTGCTCTGTTCTAAGCTAAAGCATTATACTACACCACACAACACTTTCCAAAAGAACCCTTAGTGCCCTAAGATATTTTTTCTCAATAATCATCATATCAATGGACAATATAATTGATCCCAGACTTTTTTTGTTTTTTTTTGTCCTTCATAAAATACTTCTAGAAATATTAGGATAACTATAATTCCAAAAGAAAAATATAAGGATAACTATTGCTAAATATGACTGGCCATCTTTGCTTTCTTGTATCTTTGCAAATGACGCTGGCAAAATCATGAACGCCCATCTCTCTCTCATTCTCTTTCCTACCAATTCCTCGCACAACGATGCTGTCATCACCAGAAAGCCACCTAATTTACATCCTCTCTTTTATCCTTTTATTTTAAGAGAAATGCTGACCTTCTCTCTTCCGTCTCTCCCGCCAGATAGCTGACGACCTACCCACTCGCCGGGATCTGACCCACCACCCAAATACGCTATGTGCCACCACACCCGCCGTGACTCCCTTCCTACATCCTCCGGCTCCTCCCCATCAGGACATGTCGTCTCCGCCACCGATGCCGCCGACCTAGGGTGGCCGTTCGGAAAGCTCGACGGCATCGACCGCGACGACCTTCGCGAGGCCGCCTACGAGATATTCTTCACGGCGTGCCGGTCGTCACCGGGGTTTGGAGGTGGGAGGAACGCCTTGACGTTCTATTCCTCGGACAGTGGCACCGGAGGAGGAGGTGATGGAGGGGGATCCGGGTCCGGCGGGTCCCCGGCAAGAGCGCATGGCGTGGGGATGGCGGTGACGAGTAAAGTAAAGAGGGCTTTAGGGTTGAAGATGCTGAAACGTTCGCACTCACGGAGGACCACCGCGTGCGGGAATAACCCTTCTTCGCCAGGCGGCGGATCCAGTCCCGGCGTCGCATTTGGGGCGACCCAGGCACCACGGTCAAGGCGGCCGATGACGTCGGCCGAGATAATGAGGCAGCAGATGAAGGTGACGGAGCAGAGTGATAACAGACTACGTAAAACGCTCATGAGGACCCTAGTTGGCCAAGTACGTATGTGCATGGATTTATTCATGCATGCATGCATTTATATATACATATATATATATATATGTGTGTGTGTGTGTTTGTATAATTCTTAATTAAAACAAAGCTTTGGTACAAAAATTTCATGAAATAATTATATGGAACATCCTGAAACCAAGTAGCATTAGTTGTCAATAATTTTAGGACCAGATATAAAAGTTTTACATGTAAAACTTTTGCACATGTTTGTGTAATATAGGACATTTTAAATTGTGAAGACCTTGGTTGTTTGAATGACAATCACTTTATAGGCCCTTTTTTTTTTTTTTGATCTATTATGGCTGCCGACATTTTCAATTAATCATATCATGCTCAAAGATAAGACTTTTGTGGCTTTTAATTGTGTGCCTAAAAACCTGTGTTTTTTCATAATGTCTTTTTTTTATTTATTTTTTTTTACAAGAAATACACACACCCCTTTATTTCTAACGAGACTCAAACCCTCAATTTAGAGGTAAATGAGATATGTGATGCAGAGAAATACAATGGTTTGCGATTTGAAAAAAAATCTTGAACCAGTTAAACATGCTCAATTGATGTTTGGCCTGCAATGCGATTTTCATACTATTTATTTCATTGTTACTGTAGTGAGTCAAACTTCGACTGTCCATTTTCTTTTGAATAGTGCTATTTAGACGGATTTGTTATAGAAAATTGATTCACCCACAACTTTTGATTGGTCATGTTTACAAAATATAGGGAATCTCACTTCTAATCAATCAATAGGTAAACTAAAAAGCATTTTCCTTTTGTTTTTGTTGCAACTTCAAATTTTTGAACTTGTTTTATCTGCTTTTGTATGTTCACTTCTATGAATTCATTCCAAGTCTGTTTGCTGCTGAAATATGGTAGTCATAACAATAAATCAATCAGAGAAAAAACTGATACTCAAATTTATCCCTCACATTCATAGTTTTTGGCCTAATCGATCTAATCATGATTATTCAGATGGGAAGACGCGCAGAGACGATAATTCTACCACTTGAGCTCCTCCGCCACCTAAAGCCGTCCGAATTCAATGACTCCCACGAGTACCATATATGGCAAAAGCGTCAGCTCAAAATCCTTGAAGCAGGACTTGTTCTTCACCCCTCGATCCCACTAGAGAAGTCGAACACATCTGCTATGCGTCTGAGGGAAATCATTGCAGCTTCTGAGATAAAGCCAATTGACACAGGAAAAAACTCCGAGGCCATGAAAACACTCTGTAATTGTGCGGTTTCACTAGCCTGGAGAAGCCCTGATGGCACACAAACGGAGATATGCCATTGGGCTGATGGCTTCCCTCTCAACGTGCACCTCTACATTGCTCTTCTCCACTCAATCTTTGATCTAAAGGACGAGTCTCGAGTCCTGGATGAGATTGATGAGCTTCTTGAGCTCATGAAGAAGACATGGTCTATATTGGGAATCAATAGATGCACACACAATTTGTGCTTTACTTGGGTGTTGTTCCAACAATATCTCACCACAGGACAAACAGAAAGTGAGCTTCTTTGTGCCACACTAACTATGCTCGCAGAAGTAGCCAATGATGCCAAGAGAACAGACAGAGAGCCTGGCTATGTCAAGATGCTGTCATCCGCATTGAATTCAATTAAGAAATGGTCGGAGAAGAGACTGCTTGACTATCATGGTTGTTTCGATGGGGGAACAGTTGGCCTAATGGAGAACCTCCTTCCCTTAGTTTTTTCGGCCACAAAGATATTGGAAGAAGATGTTAAATGCATTGGAGCAGAGGGGCTAGAGAAAGATGAAGTGACAGAAGACACAATAGGAACTAGGGTGAATCACTATATCCGGTCGTCGCTGAGGAATGCATTCGCTAAGGTTTGTACCTTAGCCCCTTTTAATGTTTCAAGTTCCAATTGTGTTTCACCACTCTAACACATGTTATCATTTTGTGTCCGTGTTCAATTGTTTCAAAAAAAGATGCTAGAATGTGAAAATGTCGATTCTATGACAGTTGAAGTTCAAGAGGTTAGCGAAGTCCTCCTTCAGTTAGCGAAAGAAACTGAGGAATTGGGCTTGAAAGAGAGATTAACTTATAGTCCTGTGCTCAAGAAATGGCATCCAATTGCAGCCGGTCTTGCAGCAGTGACGCTTCATAATTGCTATGGAACATTGTTGAGGCAATACTTGGCTGGGGTGTCAACGCTCACAAATGAGACAATCATGGTATTACAGAGTGCTGGGAAGCTAGAAAAGGTTTTGGTTCAGATGGCAGTTGAAGACTCTGTCGAATGTGAAGATGGAGGCAAAGCGGTCGTGAGGGAGATGGTTCCATATGAAGTTGATTCAATCATACAAAACTTTTTGAAACAATGGATTCAGGAGAGGTTGAAGAGAGGAAAAGAGTGTATTCAGAGAGCAAAAGATAGTGAAGTAATCTTATCTCTTGCATGCCCTGTCAAATTGGAAAATAAGTTTTAGACTCATTAAAATTTATGTTTTAATTAGTTTGTAAGAGTAATTTGGTTGCAATTTTTGTTGCAGACATGGAACCCAAAGTCCAAATCAGAACCATATGCACAATCGGCTGTAGAGATAATGAGACATTCCAATGAAGCTGTCGATGACTTCTTTGAAATCCCAATAGGAGTTTCTGATGATTTAGTTCATGACTTTGCTGATGGATTAGAGAATATGGTGCTAGACTACACTGCCTTCGTCGCATCATGTGGTAACAACCATCGTTGAAAATCTCTACACTTAATACTCTCTTTGAAATGTATCTTTGTTTAGGCTACACGAATCTTATGTGTTTTATTCTAATAATCGATACATAAGACAACTGATCATGAATAAATCTTCTTTGTCGAATTTTTGTGTTTTTTTCAGGATCAAAGCAAAGCTATATCCCTAATCTTCCTTCCCTGACACGATGCAACCGGGATTCCAAGTTCATCAAGTTGTGGAAAAGAGCTAGCCCCTGCAGTGTGGTTGTGGAAGATTCACACCCACATGAATCAAATGAAGGTCACCATCCGCGTCCTTCAACAAGCAGAGGGACACAACGCCTCTACATTCGCCTCAACACCTTGCATTATCTTCTATCTCAGCTTCATTTGCTTGACAAAAGCCTCTCCTTCTCCCCTCAAGTAGTTCAGTCACCACGCAGCCACTATAATAACCACCGCAGACAACTTAGCAGTTCAATATCATACCTAGATCATGCCCGTACAACCATTCAAGCAGCCTCCCAACATGTGTCGGAAGTTGCTGCCTACCGTCTCATCTTCCTTGATTCCAATCCTGTATTCTATGAAAGCCTATACGTTGGTGATGTAGAAAATGCACGTATTCGACCAGCTCTACGGATCCTCAAGCAGAACCTTACTCTCTTGGGTGCCATTGTGACTGACCGGGCTCAACCAATGGCAATGAAAGAAGTTATGAAGGCTTCTTTCGAGGCCTACCTAATGGTTTTGCTAGCGGGGGGAAGCTCTCGAATCTTTTCTAGGTCAGATCACGATATGATTGAGGAGGACTTTGAAAGTTTGAAACGGGTTTTTTGCACATGTGGAGAAGGGTTGATAGCCGAGGATGTGGTGGACCGAGAGGCAGAGACAGTGAAAGGGGTGGTGGCTTTGATGGGCCAATCTGCCGAACAACTAGTGGAAGATTTCGGCATTGTGGCTTGTGAGGGAAGTGGAATAGGGGTTATGGGCTCAGGGCAAAAGCTGCCTATGCCTCCAACAACCGGGAGATGGAATAGAACCGATCCCAATACAATATTGAGGGTGCTGTGCCATAGGAATGATCGAGCAGCGAATCAGTTCTTGAAGAGGACATTCCAATTAGCAAAGAGGAGGTGATGAAGATAGTTTGACATGTATAGTTTAATCCGAAAGAACACATTCTTCAGGAAATCCGATAATGGCCGGGTTCAAACCATGTACAGTAAATGCAAAGGAGAAAAATTGCATTGGCAGCTTGAAGAAAGTGTGAGAGGGGATTAATAGTAACAAACTCATTGTACATTTGAATGTGATATCAAGATATTGTTGGGGAGCTGAGAGAGAGAGATTGTAGTTATTCTTGGCTTAATTCTTTACAGCACTAGGAATGTTGTTAGTTCTTATATGTGATGAAATGTGCAAAAGGATAAATTATTTATCCTCTCTGGTATTATTAACTTGTGCCAACTATTTCATCACAGAACATTCTTTCTGTAAAGCATTTTACATGTAATATAATTTTCTTTTTATTTTTACTTTTGGTATTTGACTTAAATCTTGAAAACAAATTCTAGAAAAAGAAATTTAGGGTGTTTGACACTCTCAATCAAGAACTACGTTCACAAATTGTTGAATAGAAGCAATACATAATTTAATTATGATTTTTATAACTCAATCTTGGTGTGAGGAGAGTGCCAAATATTTGATCTTCACCTAAATTTTACTTCTGCTAACAAAAATTTCTTAACTTACCTAAAAATAAATAAATAAAAGGGGACATTTTAGCAAGTTCTGCTCTAGTTTAGAATCCAATTTCCACGTATTTACTACTAAGAAGTATTGAACAGTTTAAATTGTAAGGTTCAAAGACATTCTGGATATTTTTAAGCCTCCAGAGCATCACTTGGCACTAACATATATACAGATATATATATATGTATATATGTTAGTGCCAAGTGATGCTCTGGAGGCTTAAAAATATCCAGTATGTCTTTATATATATGTATATGTATATATATTCCGGTAATTTAACACAGTTAACATGTTTTTAAAGCACAACATACGGAAAAAGGTAACTCAGCAACTTGATAGAATTGGAAATGAAAAAGGTAACTCAGCAACCATCTAATCAGAATTATCATTCTGCAACATCATTTTAGTGTTCTTACAATTTTAGTTCTAGCAAACAAAAGTATCTAAGTCAATTTGAACCCCTCTCTCCTCTCGGCGAATGGAGGATTCAATGCGATCGTGAACTTCACATTCATAATTTCTTAGCATTGTTTGGTACTGGTATGGGGCAAAAATTCATCGTAGTCTGCCTAAAGCACCAAGTTTGTCGACAAGCTACCACTAAGAATGATTGGCTTCCAAGTACAAGATGGCAGATACCACTGTGAAAGAAAATCATAAAAGAAAACAATGTTTCAAGCAAAAAAGGAGGTTGTTGAAATTAAAAATTAAATCCATAACGTGCATAAAATACATTAGCAATAAAATTTGTTCCACAAGCCATTGATGTGAACCAAGAGAGAGCAGAAAATTTGCAACAACCCAAAGCAATGCCACAGATCTCTGTTCTCTGCACCTTCAACCTTGTGGCTTGTTCAATGGGACTAGACTAACCGTATAGAGCAGATATTATGTGAAAGTGGAGATCAAGGCTTAACACTGCAACATCCTATTTCCCACTTTGGTATGCAACCATGGGTGACATGCTACATAACGTTAAGTGTCGTGCAAAAGATTGTACTAACATTGCGTTTGGGAGCACTGAATTGGCGCGTTGGATTTAAAACTGGAGGAAATTTGGTTCAAAGTTTTGACTAAATTTCCTCATAGTCCAAATACAGGCCACCGATTTGATGCTCCCAAACATACTATTAGTGAAATCAGTTACAATGAGGGGTTACATGATTTACATCATAGGCATGACAACTACAAAATGGGAATTTGACCCACTTGATGGATTTAAGAAACAAAAGAGGTAATAATGAGAATAAAATGCATTCAAGCACTGGCTCACCTAAAACTCAGCCCGAAGTCCTTCCAGTGCCTGTCCAAAACTCTCACAATTGAAAAATCTACAATGTATAAAACAATTTCAGTCTGTCATTTTAACAAGCATTGAGTAGGCAAAGAAAAGAGGACTTATATATAACTTCAAATCAGATGCAAAGGGTTCACAGTGAATTTAAATGATATGAAAGATGAAGTAAAAATACGATCAAATTAGTCCTTAATTGAATCATATGCAAAGGGTTCACAGTGAATTGAAATGATGTGAAAGATGAAGTAAATATATGATCAAATTAGTCCTCAATTGAATCATATTCTTCCAAAAAAAAAAAGGTTCACAACTTCATGAGAGACAACATCAGGAATGTTTACTTGACTTACCTGAATTGGGAAATTAGACGTTGGGTCAAAGTCTGATTGATTTCAAATATGAAAATGATATTAGGCCAAGTTTGGGCAGGTTGAAACTGCCCTGATGATTTTCCCGCCTTGGTTGCTTTTTCATTTTTGGTTGGGATTTCTAGCTAGTTTTTAGTTGGCCCATGTGTTTTTTTGTTCTCGGAGGTATGCCCCCATTGTTTTGTTTTTTTTTTTGGGTTTTTGTTTTGTTTTGGGAGGTTAAGCAAACAAACACTGATTATTCCCTTTTATATTATCCATGAACCAATACACTGATATGCTAGTCATAGAACCATCATTGAAGAATTTTAGTTTCGAAATTTATATATATATATATATATATAACGGATGCAGGCTCAGAACCTAATATTATACACAGATGCAGTGTACCCAAGTACGTAACTTGACAAATTTTTACATCATAATTCAATAAAACTAGTATTTAGTAAAATTTGTTATATTTATTAAATAAATAAATAAAATAACACAAACAGAACCTAAATGTAAAAGAATATTTGACCATCTAGTGGTTCTAGCTTAAGCTTCTGAACACATGTCTGAACCATAAATCCTAGCACTTCTCTACTACCAAGGACATATTTAATCCTCAAAATGCTCCAGCAAAAAGGTGTGGACTTCTCAATGAAGACACAGCTTATAAATCATCCATCACTTGTAAGAAAGGAGAACTAGATTTTTATTTTAAGACCATGTCAAAACTGATGAAACTGCTTTGAGTCACTTTTCTGAGACGTTATTGTTAAACACATTTAGCTCAAATCTTCGCAAAGCTTTATGAATTCCCAATACGGTGTCTTAACAGTATAGCTAATCCAAATTACAAGCATATTGCTATAAATCAAAAGGCCGATATTTTATGGGGTGAAACCATCAACAATTATTGCTAAAGAATGTAGCCTGATGATACTTTCTCACTATTCAGAGTGAATGGTCGATATTTTAAATCCCATAGAAGCAAATGAGTGCGTGTTCTATTTGTCAGGATATAAAAAAAGAAATACATCAACAATCACTCTAAACAAATCTAATTGTGTTTCACAAAGTTTGAGTCCAGCCAAGACTTCAGATGGTCATTTGTTCTTCCTAGCTTATTCAGTCAACCCCTTTAGTTCTTCTCCAAGTACTTCCATTGAATCCGAAACTTCAGCCTTATATTGATAGAGCTTAGTCATTACTAAGAAGAATATGAAATTCAAGAAGCTTAGTATTGTGAGAAATGCAAAATAATAATCAAGATGAGAAGCATTAAGGTTATTCAAAATCCATCCTTTGTGACCATGCGCCTTGGTGATATCAGAAATCAACGAAAGAAGAAATGTGCTGAGGAAATTCCCAACTCCATTACAAGTCATTGCATAAGAAGTCCCAAGACTCTTCATGCTTTCGGGTGCTTGGTCATAGAAGAACTCAACCTTGGCTACCTCAAAACACGCATCGGCTGCTCCCATAAGCACGAATTGAGGAAGCAAAATGAATACGGTTAATGGCACTTCTCCTCCATTTTCAACTAAGCCATGGTCCTTGGCAACACCAAGTCTGTACCTCTCAGTTAGGGATGCTATTAACATAATGATGGTATGGAGTACAAGACCAACTCCCATTCTTTGAAGCAGAGTGATACCTCTTGGATTCTTTGTCCATCTTCTTATGATCTGGACGAAGACACGATCATATATAACGGTGCAAACAAGCATGGACACTGTCACGAAAGCGCCTAAGCTAGCCGGGGGAAGTTTAAAATTACCCATACTTCTATCAAGAGTGGTGCCTTGCTTAATGAAGAGGGTAATGCTTTGAGCAACCATTACCACAGGAAGGAATGTGGTGATCAAAATGGATATCATTCGCAGCATTTGTTTGGTTTCCTCGACTTGGGTCACCGTGCACAGCATCCATGGACTGGTTGAACCAGTTTCAACACAAGCTTTGTTGAGGAACCTGCATTAGCACAAGAAAGAACATGCATTAGAATACTAAGAAGGAAGCATAGGGCTGTTATTAATTGGGGCCAGTAGGTCTAAAGTTGGAGAAGATATTGGGTGAGCCAGACATATCACGTCATAGGTATACTCAACTGCATTTACATTGTGCGAGCATACCGAGTCCGGATCTTCTATTGTAGCGCCTTAGTGCTATAATATTTTTCGACGCACTTAGCATCCGTTTTCAACACATTTATTATACAAATCAACACACTTTGACCATTGAAATGTTAAATAAATGTGTTGAAAACATATGTAAGTGCGTTGAAAAATGCTATAGTACATGATTCGGGCTTGAGCACACTAATGACGTGGCATATCTGGCTCACCCAATATCTACTCTTAAAATTGGCCTAAATTTTACAAAGATAAACCAATACATGGACTAAGCTTGGACGGTAAAACCTAGACTTTTTTGAAGCTTAGTCTAGCCCAAGCTAATGTGTACTCATCTATAACATGAACTCGGATCCTCTCTTGTACACCGGGTGAAGTTCACCACACAAGTAGTAGAGTCCACTTATATATATATGATACTCCGAATATGTGAAGGTAAGACATGTAAATCTGACGAGTTAGATCCTTTATAGAAGAATGGTACCAAACCTGAGGGTGGGTGTGGAATCAATTCTAAACTTTCCTTTGCGGGTATATTCTTCCAAGTCAAGTTCATAGAGTTCTTTACGGTGTTTAGGAATGGGTACCCTCCACTTCCTTAGGGCAGCCACAATGACCCTGGCCATCCTTGCGAAGGGACTCCCTGTGGGGACCTTGTGCCTGTAGAAAGGTGTGCCAACTATGAAGATTAATATGGCAAAAGCAAGGCCCACAGTTGAGATCCCATAGCCAAGAGCCCATCCCACGTTGTCTTGTATGTATACAAGAACTGTGGTCCCAAAGAGTTTCCCAATGAAGATACTGCACATCCACCAATTGAAGAAGGAAAGCTTTTGGGCCTTCTCCTTGGGCTCGAAATCATCAAATTGATCCGCACCAATCGTAGAGATGTTGGGCTTCGTCGCGCCGGTCCCAATGCCTAAAATGTAGAGTGCAGTATAAAACACACCTAATTCTAGTGTTGAGGCCTTCTTACAGTCGGCCGGGTTGACATTGGCGGCACAGGGAGGTGGTTTTAGTCCAGGGACTGAAATTGCTAGTGTTAGTAGGCACATCCCCTGCAATCAGATTGATAATGGCCATCTTGTCAAAAGAGCAAATATTAATAAATAAATAAATAAACAAATAATGCGGTAAAAAATATTAGTAACAAAATTAAAGTTTAGTGGTAGATTACAATCAGTAACAAAATTCTAAAAGGCTAATAAGTTAACTGAGGGGCTTGGGGGACCAACTAAGCTTAAAGATCAATTTGGACTTTTGATACCATATTTATATATAAATAGTCAGGACATATAAGAATTTGAATTAAAGCATTCTGGATCCATAATGCTTTAATTCAAATTCTTATATGTCCTGACTATGATCCATAATGCTTTAATTCAAATTCGTGTAAATCAAGTTTTGTCGATTCTTTTTATATTATAATATATTTGTCTATATATATAAATAAAATAATTATTAATTTTCTCTTCAATTGAGAAAGAAATCACCAAAATTGTTTGTGTACATGGTATCAGAGTTTAATTTCTCAAAACATTTTTTTTAATTCGTTCCTCTTTTGTTCTTTCTTTTCTTCAACACTTCTTCAATTGCTGAAACACAAATTGATTTAAGCCATCGTTTTAAGACAAACTGCAAGGATCAACTAATTATCCTCTTTATGTTCATCATTCCAAATCTCCGATAGTCCGACCATGGTGCTTGTTGCACCTCCACTGTCTAGTGATAATTATGGCACTTGGATTCGTGCCACCTTGGAAAAGCCGACTACACCTAATGAACTCTCTCAATGGGAGAGATGCAATGATTTAGTTGAATCGTGGCTTCTCAACTCCGTTACAAGTGAGATTCGCAATAGTATCATATATGCTGACACTGCCAGGGCAATTTGGATGGATCTTTCGGAGCGTTTTTCTCAATCCAATGCTCCACAAATTTATCAATTGAAACAGTCAATTTCCCCTCTTAAAAAAGTGGACATGTTTGTTTCTGCTTATTTCACAAAGCTCAAATCATTGTGGAATGGACTTAATTTCCTTGTCACCATCCAACCATACTTCGAGCCTCACATGTCTTCCACCCTACAAGAAACTCATTGGTTGTAATTGGATTATACGATACTTTTGCACCTGTTGCAAAATTGGTAACAATACGTGCTCTACTTTCCATTGCCTCTGTCAAGCGATGGCCTCTTCATGAGCTTGATGTTAATAACTGCTTTTTACAAGGTGATATTGAAGAAGTGGTATATATGGCGCTTTCGCCTGGTTCCCCCGACGGGGAGACACAGATTTGTAAATTAAACAAATCCATTTATGGGTTAAAGAAGGCATCACGCCAGTGGTTTTCCAATTTTTCATATACTCTTCTTGAGGCTGGTTTTTCTCAATCAAAGTTGCCTACTCTTTGTTTACAAATTGTCTTTCGACCAAATTGATGATTTGGCTATTCAACACGTCAAACAATTTCTTGAAGCCAAGTTTTTTATTAAAAACTTGGGCAACCTAAAATATTTTCTTAGCATTAAGGTTGCTCGATCTCATAAGGGTACTTTTCTTTCACAAAGAAAAGACACTTTGGTTTAATCAGTGGGCATGTCTCAGATTTTCCCATGGAACAACATTGGTGGGTATCACCCGATGATGGGACATTACTTCCTGATCCCACTCCATTTCGCCAATTAGTGAGACGTCTTATATATCTTACTGTTACAAGACCAAATATTAATTATTCGGTGCATGTTTTAAGCCAATTTATGCAATCTCCTCGTAGTGCTCAAATTGATGCAGCACAATGTGTGGTTCACTATTTGAAGGGTTATGTTGGTAAATGAATTTTTTTTATCATCATCTAATAGTCTTCATTTTCGTTTTCGAGGTTACTGTGATTCGTAGGTTGTCATTGCACTTTTCTTGGTTACAACCTCATTTCTTGGAAAACCAAGAAATAAGCTACGGTTTCTAGCTCTTCTACTGAGGCCGAATATCGTGTTATACCTACTTTAACATATGACTTCAGTGGTTAAAATATTTGTTAGGCGATCTTGGTATTTCTCATCCTTCTCCTATCACATTATTTTGTGACAATCAAGCTAAGCTACATATTGCCAACAATCTTATTTTTCATGAATGCATGAAGCATATTGAACTTAATTGGCACCTTTGTTCGAGAAAAGCTCCAATTTAAGCTTATTATCTACATGTTTTTATCTGCATTGTTGTATAACTTGTAAAAATACTTTTCCTGAAGATTTATTAGAGTCCC